ACATTAATTCCATTGAGGGAGTTACAAAGTCCAATTAACAATGGCTAGTAGTAATAAGAGTGGCGAGGGGGGTGAGGGTATTGTTGTGTCTTGCTATCAAGGTTTATTGGGTAAAAAATCTGAGTAACTTCAACATTGTCATTATCATGAATAACCAGGTTACGGTGCAGGTTGTAACTTCATGTCTCCCTTGCCTAGTAGTTGTTATGCCTCGATGCCTAGATTTCCTCCCGAGCTAATATCAGTGGATCATCTTCTTGTATATTGGGAATCGTATCATGTTGCGCCCTATCACATTCCTGGACGACTAGACGTTGCCAATCATTTTTCATTATCCTATCTGTCTCATCGTCATCTTGCTCCTCATCTTCGTCATCTGCGTATGTCATAGTCGATGTCCATGACCACTATTGTGTCTCTCTCATTGGGTGCTGCAACATCCACATTATCATCCATATCGACAATTGCTATTCTAAAGAAATCCTAGTCAAGTACTGGGGTCCTTTGCGATACCCACTCATCGGCAAGGTCTTTTTGAAAGATGTAAACAAGGTTGATTGGATTGTAATATGTGTGAGGGTCTTCCTTAGTTGCATCTCTTTCAATTTCAAGTTGTAGTGGAGTACATAAGGTTGTACAGCGTCTGAGTCTTTAACATATTCCGCCTCGAGACATGTATCCATTGGAATGTATTCCAGTTTTTCTTACATTTCGATGAAGTACATGTTTGACTCAAAACTATGATTGAAATCTTTTGTAATTGCTTTGTTTGAATTACGTGTACCGTCCACCAATACGCTGACATAGACAAACATAAAAATACTTAATAACAGAAAAAATTAATTTTAAAAAATCACAAATAGTGTTGTACTAAACTATTATAGATTATAACTTATAACTAACCTAGGAACAATTTTGTATCTGTTTTTTTGGCATTGTTGTATTCAAATTGCTATGTTTTTTCCATGTACATGATAAGCTACAAAGAACGATATGCATATAAAAGAAAGTAGTACAACATAGAAATGCAATTTGTAATTTTGAATTAAACTTTTGGACCCCGCCCTAACCCATCTATATGAATTAAAAAATAATAGAAATTATTTTAAATATGATTTAATATATATAACATAAAAAAAATATCACAGTACACCCTAATTTGGTGTACCATTTCCTAGGAGATCCACTTATTTGAAAACTATCTTAAGGTATTAGGTTTTCAAAAAGTTTATCTTCTAACCCAACCCCATTGGACTATTTTTTTATATATTATCGTCCCAAACATCTTAAAAAATGATGATTTTTTTACTCTCTCTATCCTTTCTTTTCCCTTTTCCCTCTCAATCTTATTGACTCTCTCTCTCCCCTACTCCCTCTCTCTCTCCACTCACTCCCAACCATTCTCTCTCCTCTAACCATCCTCTCTCTCTCACCTTTCTCCCCCGTACTCTCCCTCTCTCTCTCTCTATCTTGTCTTTCTCCCCAAAACCGTCTTTCTCTCTCCCACATCAGGCTTCGAGCTCTCTAAACTCGTTGCTAAAAAGTACCTATTTATTTGATTGTGCAACTTCAATTCTGGTAACCCACTGTTTTTGTCAGATTAACCAATTAGCAAGGGTAATCCATCGCCTTTGATTCTACAACTTCAGTTTTGGTTATCGGAGGGAATGGGGACTCAATGATGCAATGAAATCATTTGAGAGAATCGTGGGAAAATGGGGTTGATGCCTCTGCTTATGGCATTATGGTCACAGGACTTTGGGAAAATAAGGACTCATCAAAAGCTCTTTGTATTTATGGAGAAATGATTAAATAGCAAAGTGCTTTTGAATCGCCCATCATCGTTAAGGGGCTCAGTAAAATTGGATCATTTCGGGAGCTATATATGCTTTTGAAAATCGGCATTTGGCTTCATTTTTGGGGTGGTTATCTCTTGTTGATCCGGAGGATATATTTTTTGAAAACTAAATATATGGGTCTACTAAAAAATGATACACCAAATTGGGGTCTACTAAGATATTTTCCTTATAATATATTTTATACTAGGTAGGGTCAACCTTGATTGCTATTGGAATTCTATGCTAGACTCGGACCCAATTAGGATAGAGTCCAAACATTCAGACCCAAACCCAACCCACCAGGTGTTAGGAATTGACCTAGACTAGACCCAGATCCGAACAACCAGCATACCCACCGATCGACCCGACCCGATTGCCATCCTTATATGTCTCTCTTATGGTGGTGGACAAAACCAAAGGGGGTGGTACGTGGTAGTGGGGTGGGAGTGTGGCAGCATGTAAGGAGACTCCTGCCATGTTTTAAGGTCACTTGCGGCATTTGTTTAGAGCGAGCGAGATAGGGGTGGGAATTTGGTGGAGAGGTTAAGGGACTCGTGCCATCTTTTAACTTTACTTGTGGCATACGCAGAGAGAAAGTTTTGGCCGAGAATCAAAGGAAACCACGTCAATTTTCAAGGTCGGGTCACGAGTGGCAATGGACCCGGATTGATTCGGGAACCGAGGCGTAGGTCAATCAGAGTTTCAGTACATATCTACAAATTGGACCTAGTACTATTTTGGGTCAAGTGCGATTGGGTTTGGTTAGGTCCATTAACATTTTTTGAGTCCCAACATCTGAAACATATTCAAAGGGCAGCGATTTCATGCAAGGGTTGTATCATAATATAATTCAACAACCTTTAAAAATCATGTTATTTGTTTGATTCAAATTTTAAAATATAAATTTTTTTTCATTTTAATGAACAATCGTCAAAAAATAAAAATTTGAAAACATAACCTAGAAAGTATGTTTTTAGCACAGTTAACGTAGGTTGTCCATTTCGATAAGATACTTAGATCTAGACTTTAAAATGATTTTTTTTTCTTTTCCAATTTTTTTAGATGGCTTTATTATCATTAGATGAACCATGATAAAGATGAAAAAAATGATTTTGAGTTTGTAAAGGTTAAGATATTGAAATTCACCAAATAAGCGATCTAGATTCGTTATTGGGAGAGACTCATTTTGACCATATCTAAGGGTTTAAATTGATTTTTTTTTTTTTGGGATTGATTATTTAGATGAAGAGAATGTGTGTAGAATTTTATATCGTACAAATAACACAAACATGGTTTTTTTACCAGTGTTGTTGTATTACACAATGATACAACCGTTGCAGTAGATCATTACTTATATTTAAATATAGTAAAATATATACATTTTAATTTTTGAGTTAGATCTAAATCCTACACTATGTTTTAGGTTTAGGTCCGGTGAATTCAGGTTTGGACCCAGACCTAGACCCGACCTTGCGATAGATCATTACTTATATTTAAATATAGTAAAATATATACATTTTAATTTTTGAGTTAGATCTAAATCCTACACTATGTTTTAGGGTTTAGGTCCGGTGAATTCAGGCTTGGACCCAGACCCAGACCCGACCTGACCAGTGGCTACTCCTTAGGTCATGGGATTTGCTGGAGAGAGAGACTTGCATAGTTTTTTGAGGTCATCTAGGCGAGGGAGAGAATAAATTCCCCAGTAGGGCTTTTACAAGGAGAGGGCATAGGCGTGAAATTTCAAATTGTAGAGAGAGAGAGAGAGAGCGGAAGTCCTAAGCGTCCAAGATTAAGGTTGAATGTTAGAGAGAGAGAGAGAGGGAGAACCGTCCAACATGTCATTGAGGTTGAATGTTATAGAGAAAGAGAGGGCGAGGTGGACGTATTCCACCGAATTGCAAGGAGAGAGAGTAAAAGTTTAGAGAGAGAAAGCAAAAACTTCAAAAACGAAGAAGAGAAAAACACAGAAGAGAGAGCAGAGACTTCAGAGGTGTAGGTTAGAGAGAGAAGCAAAAAAAATTCAAAATCGAGGAGAGAGAAACACCTCCAGGGTAAAAACGTTCCATTTTCAAATTCTTGGGCGGTTCCCCAAAATTTCAAAAAGCAAAAAAAAAAACTATATTTCCTATTAACCTGTTAAATCCAGAAGGGCGTATTCGAAATTCTAAGTCAAACATACGACCAAAATTTCACGTACATTTTCCAGTGGCGACACAATCGAACCATCCTAAAACCGCGTCCAGTCAAGTGGGTCCACGCGATGGACCCAAAAGTGGGCCCGAAAATCGAGGGCGTGAAGGACCCAGGTCGAGCCACGGACGAGCCTACTGGGTCAAGTAGGCTCGATAGTATGAGCCCTGTGGGTCCGAGTCGTGGACCCCGGTGGTGGGCTCGCATCGAGATTCGAAACCGAAAGCGAGTGAAGGGTAGTTGTAAAACGGAACTGAGTGGGTTCCGCAGGTATTGGGATTTAAGTGAGGTTTTAACTAGGGGAAGAGTTTATAACATAGCCGAAGTTTTAAACAATCAAATTAGAGCCCCTCTCAAAAATTTCATTAGAATAGATATTTTTTATGTTTGAATGTACTCAAATTGATCATCTCGATATCAAGATGCATGAACATGAGAAAAAAAAAAGATTTTAAGTTATAAAAATAATGTATTTTATAACACATATTTAGATCATCAAATTTAAAGATTTTAAAGTTTTTATAAATATATCGATCTATTTATTTTTAAAAATTTAAATTTTATAAATAAAATAAAAATATATTTTAAAAATATTACAAAAATTTCTAGTATTAAAATCACATTTTCCGATACTATTTGAAGTAGGTTCTAATTTTATTGTTTAGAGCGTAAGCTCTATACAAACTGCATCCCTTTAACGAGTAGTCACGTTAAAAAAAAACATCATATCTATTTATCTCTTTCTCTCTCTAGAAAAGCCATCATCTTTCACTGTCTAGAAACGAATCATCTCATTCTCTCTCTAGAAAAGCCATCATCTTTCTCTCTCTAGAAAAGAATCATCTCTCTCTCACCTCGCTCGCTCAGTCTTCTCTTCAACCTTCGTTTGCTCTCTCTCTCTAGCTTCATTCTCTGTTTACTTCTCTCTTTCTCTTACTCTTTCTCTCTCTAGCTTCATTCCCTGTTTACTTCTCTTTTTCTCTTACTCTTTCTCTCTCTAGCTCTGTCTCCGACTCTTTTACCGCTATCGCTTCACTCTCTCTCTGGTACTGAGATTTAACAGCAGTCCGCTTTCTCCTCTCTCTCTCTATAAAAGCCATTTTCTTTCTCTCTCTTCCGCAGTCTCTTCGACCCTTTACTCTCTCTATGACATCATTTTATGTTCACTCTCTCTCTGCATCTCTTACTCTTCTCTCTCTGGCTGACTCTCTCCCTTACAGCCATCTCACTTTCTCTCTTACAGCCATCTCACTTTCTCTCTCATACCGAGAACACCAGCCGTCTCTCCTCTCTCTCTAGCTTTGTGTTCACTCTTGGCAATCAGCTCTCTCAACATTCTCTCTCCACTGAGCTCTCTCTCTTACCGAGATAAACAACCATCATCACTCTCTCTATTTCCTCATTCTCTGTCTACACGCAATAATCTCTCTCTCTCTCTCTCTACTCTTGCAGAGCTTGCCTATATAGTACCGCCTGCACGTTTCTGGGGCTCCAGTTACAGGGATGATCATTTCTGGTTATCTTTGTGGCATTTGAAGCCCCTTTGCTGGAGTAATTGGCAATAGTGCGATTCTAGGGCTCAATGCCTGGTTTTCTTCACCTGTAAGTTTGTGATTGCTCTATCCGTTCATGCTTGGTGTTGTTCTGGATTATGTTTGTTTAATCATCATAGTTTGTAGCTGCAGACTTAGGGATTTATAGCTAAATCCTGTATTTTTGTCTGTCTCGCGCTCATTGATCTTAATAGATTTGGGTATTTAGCCAATTTTCATATTTTTTGCTCAATCAATTTGGTCTGGGGACGAGTTAGGGTTACTATGGTGGTTCTGCAAGTAACTTATGTAAATGGATTTTTCAGGCAATTGTTATTCTTATTTTGATGGTTTATTATATGTTTTTCGGTGTAAAGCAGTGTTTTTTTACAGCGTTGTCCCATTATTAGAGTATTTTTCTGTAGCGTTTAACATAAATTTTATTCAAATTTTTGAGGTTCTTTATCAATGCATTTGATTGGTTAATGATGGGGTATCTTGGTTTTTTTATGAAAGTTAAGATTGCCCAGTTTTATTCTAATTTTTTTGGGCTGATTGATTTCGTTTTGTTGATTGGAAAGGCATGAATAAGGAAGTAGTTAAATTTTCTTGAAAAATTGGGGCATTGGTGGGATTCAGAGTCGCATACTGTATTACGATCATAGAACACTGATTATATTTGATAGAACACTGTTGTTTCTTATCTTATTCTCATAAAAAAAAAATTTAATTGATTTTTTTCATTGAAGAGATTTGAATGATGGTCTCGTTTCACATTGTTCTTCATTTAATGTGGTTTTATAAATGGAGAAATTGTTGGTTTATGCAGTGTTTACTCTTTGTTACATTTTCCTAATATTTATGTATTTTTAGTAACACAATGCATTACAGTTAGTCGCCGCCTATTGAAGTGGAGTACTTAATTTGTAAGGTAATAGTACCTTACATAATATTCCTCTCTTTTCTGTACTTTCTAATATTTGTTAATTTCTATTAGTGTAGCACACTGAATTCAGTGGTTGTTGATTGACGTGCGACTTATTGTGACTTGATGGTGAGAGTAAAGGCTGGCTTTCACGACGCAATGCAAAATGATACAGTCAAATCAGTATCAGCTGATGTGAATTTTCTTTCAAATCGTTTCCCAAACTATAAAATAGGGGCCAATGATAGCATTGTTGAATCAAAAGAAGGTTCAGATGGGCCATCTTTAAAGGAGATAGTAGCTCATGAAACTGCTCAGCTCCTTGAGCAACAAAAGCGACTCTCAGTCCGTGATTTGGCTAGCAAGTTCGAGAAGGGGCTTGCAGCTGCAGCCAAGTTATCTGATGAGGTTTTTCCATTTTATTAAGCTTATACTTGATTGACTTCTGCTCCCTTTCGGAAAATATTTTATTGAACTGAAATCAATTCAGAAGAAAAAAAAATCCGCTGGTTTTTATGTGAGTAAATTAAAATTTTCAATATCTAACTGAAGGAGCAATTAACAATGCTTGTTGGATTTTCAGGCGAAATTTAGAGAGACAGCTTCGCTCGATAAACAGGTTCTCTTGAAGAAACTGCGAGATGTATTGGAATCACTAAGAGGACGTGTGGCAGGTCGAAACAAGGATGATGTGGAAGAGGCCATCTCTATGGTTGGTTTTGTTTGCTATATCTTTCATTTCATTTGTCAGTGTTGTTGCCTTTTGCATTCCTTTATGTCTTTTCTCAGCTCACATGAATGTTACCGATAACTCATTTATTTCCTCTTGCTTTCAAAATGAGGATATGAGTATCTCACGAGGAAGTATATGCACTCTGTGTGTAGGTTAAGCAGAATCCATTATATTATAATTCATGCTTCATGAAGTATTGAAATAGCTTTTTTACAGATGCTGGCTTGTTTTACAGATGCTGGCAGTGTTTTGATGAGTGTTGATGACAAACACAGTTTCCAGTCGTTTATTGGAAAGTGAATTATCGAAATTTCAGATAAAAAACTTATCATAATTAAAAAGTTCAGAATTGTTATATTCATTCTATAGGATAGTTGCAAAGATTCTTGAGAAGAGCTAAGGCATAGACAAAATTTTCTAGAGGTTCAACTGAAGTGCTAGATAAAGATGGCATTCTGAATGAACTTTACTTCTGTTGAACTTTACTTCTGTTGAGTGTGAGGCAGATTTGGTTCTTTGAATGCATTACATTACTTGATCTGTTAAGAGCTTAAGATTAGAAGTGGTGATTCCTTGGTTCTGTGGTTCTCGGGCTTTATTATAGATAATGTGTTAATTGGCTTCCAGTATTGCAGGCTGGAATCTAGTTGTCATTTAGCTTCTTTGCATTCCTCGTATTTCATGGACCTTTAGGAATGCCATTGAAGTATTTTTGGAGTCATATCTGGCACTGAAAATTGTGATATAATTTATAATCTAACTTGAGCTATCTTTTTTGTTTTCTCTGTATTTTCTTCACTAGGTACTTTGTGCTTTATTGCATCTAATCATCACAGCTTATGTCCTTTTTATGTAATTGGATTATATCTTAAGATTGTTTCAATAGAGACACTTCTTTACAGGTGGAAGCCCTTGCTGTCCAGTTGACTCAAAGGGAAGGAGAGTTACTTCATGAAAAATCAGAAGTTAAAAAGTTGGCAAGTTTTCTTAAGCAGGTAACATGTCAAATAGATGCCTGGATGCTGCTGGAAGATATATAAATACTGTATCTACGCGTAATTTGATCTCTGCACTTGTCTAGAACCTTTATTAATTTAATTATAATAAGATTTAATATTACTTTTATTTGTGATTTTTTTTTAAAATTTTTTTTTCCATACTAAGAAGCATTATCTACTTTCTGACAGGCATACTGTGCAGTTGACTGCTGGGTATTTTTTTGTGTGAGGGTCCTCCATGCACTAACATTTGGTTTATTTACTATTACATGTTACTCAAAATTGATTGAGCTGACAGTTATTTCTTTCAAAAAGAGTGAGCTGACACTTGCAAACTTCCCAACGAATGAGTCATGTGGAGCATAGAACAAAAATCATGTGTAGCACCCAGTTATTGGGAATTATTTCATCGAAAGTAATATTTTAAAAGGGTCGCCTGTATTTGTTAGGTAAAACAATAGATCTATCCGTAGAGTTGGTGGTGCCCTTGGGCCTACCAAATTGAAGATCTAAGGGCATTGCATCTCCAAGTACGCCCAGTTTGGCAGTTTCTGAATGTTTTCTTCAATCAAAGTTTAAATGATTCAGGACCTTTCTTAATATTTTCTCACTTTTTTTTTCCTTTTGTTATAAGTAGTCCTTGTGGAAATCCACTGCATAGCATATTGATTTGTCCAGTCAATTATTAAAGCTTAGTTTGCAAAACTTGGCTCCAGGCCCTACAATAACAGTGTATTGGAGTAGTATATGAAGACGATACGGGTACCACTATCAAGAAAGTTAAACAATACTCAGTCCTGACAGTGGGAAGCAAATGAACAATATGGTCAACATGGTACCAAAATAAAAAAAGAAGCCAAAGATGAGGAAAAAGCCGTGAAATGGATATCCTTTGAAGAAATATTTGCAAAGGAATGAGTAGCAGAAATGGCAACAAAACATGAATGGAGGAATTGAGGGCAGAATTGCCTGCGATAAATAAAATGTAAATCAGTATTACGTCATTAAATTCTTTAATTTAGAGTACTGAGTCAGGATTCATGACAGGAATTCTTGTATTCATGCTCACAGCTGGATTATGAACCAATAGATTTTATAATCTCTTGCCTAATGTAAACACTTGTTAATATTTTATTACGATAGGCAGGGTTCCCATCCAAATCTCCATTAGCCTAGCTAAAAAGAAGAGTTACTTCTACATATAATAACGTATTCCTCTTTTAATATTTTCTGTGTTGACTTTTAAGTCTTCCTGAGTTGTTCATTTTGGTTCTCTATTAATGTGAATTCCTTGTAGTTTGAGTGTAATCAAGCTTGGATTTTTGAATGTGTACTTAAAATCATTTAATGCTTCTCCTTATGCATACAGGCTTCTGAGGATGCCAAGCGAATGGTTGAAGAAGCAAGAGCTTTTGCACAAGCTGAAATTGAGAAGGCTAGAGCATCAGTCCAGATAGTTGAGCAGGCCTTTGAAGAACAAGAAAACATTTCCAGATCTTCTGACAAGCAAGTGAGTTATTTTGTTTGAAGTTTGCTTGATTTTTTTGTCCCTGTTTTATTTTCTTCTCTAAGAACGAAGTTTCTGAAAATTTATGTTTTTTTTTTTTGGCTTTCTTTTTAGCATCCATGAATGATTTAGTAATGGCACAATTCAGGTATTTGAACTTATACCCTATTGTCTGTCTTACTCTCCATGTCCAAAAGTTCTGTGCTTCACTCGCAATTTCTGCTTCCTCTCACCCTTCGATGATTTTATGAGTTTGTTATACTTCCATCTTTTCTTGCTTTGCTGCTTCTATCCTCATATGCTCCTGTAATTTCAATCCCCAAAGTGCTAAGAAGGGTTCTGAGTTTCTATTTGAAGTAATACAACTTCTGATTCTTGAATAATGTAACTTTCTTGCATCTGTTTCCATTTTATTTTCATAGCTCCCACAATCTTTCTCTATCTCTTTGCTGCCTCTATCTCTGAGATTGAACTATCCCTCCCCACTGAGAGGCTTTGCTTCATGAAGTTCCGTGTTCATTCCCCACTGAGAGGCTTTGCTTCATGAAGTTCCGTGTTCATTCTCTTATCCTGGTTATCCCTCCTTTTTGATTCCTCCCCGTGAAAGCTGCTATATCAATGTTTACAATGAATCAAATGAATATTTCATAGTATATTTTTTGTATCATGTTAGTTTTTTAAGAATATAATTTTGTCCTCTTTGACTAAGTAGGAACTGTGACAGTTTTTATATGTATCCATTTTAAATGTGTAGACTGTTTTTCTGTCAATTATAATGGATATTTATTCTGTTTATGGTGGTATTGTTGTCAACACTGTTAGGATTTGGATGAGTTAATGAAGGAAGTTCAAGAAGCTAGAAGAATAAAGATGTTGCATCAACCTAGTAAGGTATGCTAGAGACTTTGACATTCTTTGTAATTATTGGAAAGATAGTAACGTTTTTGTTTGAAATTTTTTGTTTGGAAGTAACCATAATAACACCGTTTAGAAACTGCCTCTTTGTATACAAATTTCTTGTTAACCATATTTATGAAGTTGAATGATCCATTATTCTAGTGTCATTTGATGAAGTTAATTGTTATTTCCGAGCCGCTTGATGTTTCTCATTCTAATCTAGAAGCTTATTTTCTAAGCAATAATGAGTAAAGGTGAAAAGGAATGCAAATTCTAGAGGTCTACTCCAAGCATAAACGAGTTACGAGTCAATGACCCAAGAATCTCTAGCTAAACATGAAGCATGCTCTGACCATCTTCGGCTATGTACTTGATTTTTTTGTCAAATTTGCCACGCTGTTGCTTTAGGGCCTGTTTGGAGGACAATTTTATCTGGAATATATTATCTTATTTGAGATTAATAAACTCTAGATAATGTTATTTTGTTAGATATTTGGTACGCATCTTGTATTATGTATAATAGCATTTAAACATTTAACGTTTCAGTGATTCTAGCTATTTTTAGCTATGTTGGTAAAAAAATTTGATGTTCAGCAAATTACCTTGAATAAAGTAAAAACACTTTTAAAAAAGATAAAAATTATATGTCAAACTGCCTATAAGTTTATCTCAGATAACTTCATGGTGGACACAGCCAAACAATAAATAATTTGTTATCGGGATTAACTTTATTGAAACGGTGAATTATCAAGGATAACTAGTACATCTAAACAGGCCCTTAATATACAACAAATGTATTGAATGACGCATTTCGCAACAAAAGTTTTTTCCAAGGATATTCTCTGTTGTCAGTCAGCTATGAAAACAACATTGTGCACTATATATATGTGTTTGATAACATTCGAGTATTTCTCGGTAATCAAGTGGACTGAGTAATAGGATGAATATAGAGGATGTCTCAACTGCTCCAAATTATTTACAAAGTTGATTTGTTGGTGATGTAGTGGGCTGCCATAACTCAAATTGATAATTGGGGAAGTCTGTATGTGCTCTATTTGTTGGCAGGTCTGAAGTTCTATATTGTTTTTCCAAGATATGATCTTTCTATATCTTTGACTTTTCTTTTCGGATTTTAAATGTTTAATACTTGTTGCTTGCAGTTTACTAGTTCGGCATGAAGGAACTTATAATTTAGTCTTACTGGCTACATTTTGTCACTGTTAATTAGTTTGTTTTCCTACCCCTATTTTCATATTGGGCAAACTTCAAATAAATTCTATTTCCATTGCAATCAGGTTATGGATATGGAGCACGAACTTCAAGCCTTAAGGATTCAACTTGCCGAAAAGTCCAAATACTCGCTCCAGCTTCGGAAAGAGGTTGCATTTATATATGAAATTTTGAGATTGCTGATAAAACATTACCTAGTAGTGTTGTTCGCCTATTTTTTGGTTGGTCCATGACTAGCTTGACAATTACCTCACTTTTGACTGTGGGATTTTCCACTTTTCTGCTTTGCATTCGTCTATATAATGAATTTAATATGCTAGTAGATGGCTCATGGCGATCTTTCTTGTTTCATGCCTTAGTTTAACAAATTTTTGTCGCTTTGATTACACAATTGTTTATGTTGTTATGATTGAACAAAAGACTATGTGTCTTCATAACACGCTTGCTCTGCTACTTGTGGTAAATTCTCTTATTGTAGACGTTTGTAATTCATGGAAGATGGCCTTAGTGAATGGATTTCTTAGATTCACCTTATAACATTATTAAGTTATGCACAACTTTATGGCTGCTCATTGATTCAAGAAGTGTAAATAAATGATCTTAATATCAAAGTTGGAGTTCTAATATTAGGTTGAAACTCTTGCCAGGGAAGTCTGTAAGGAGACCTGTTAGGTTGGTTTCTTAAAACTTTTATTCTCATTGACATATTTATTCCTCCTGTGAATTTTGAGAAGAGTAGAATGTCATATATAAAGTATCACATAGAGAGTCATGAACTCTTAAGTAGATAATACTTGTAGTAGCGGGAAGGATGTATTGAGTTTTTTTTTTTTTTGTTGAGTTTTTATTCTGAGCTTTTGAGAGTTATTTTCAGTTTCCCACCCATTTTGATGGAGGTTTGGGATGTTAATGTACAAAACTGGGGTGCTAAAATTAATTGTATTTTTACATATTGATTTTGCTAAATTTATTTATTTTAATAAAAGTCATTATCTAGTATGTTTAGAAACTCCTGTCGAATCTTTCAATAAGTATACTTGTGAAGAAATAGGGACCTCTATCTGCATTCTCCATGAGTTTGCATTAAACAAACTACATAAATGACATCTTCTGAAATTATTATTATTTTTTGTTAGAATTCATATTCTATATGCTTGATTCTTTTTCGAGTTTCACTAACCACTTAGTTCATTTAGCATTTTCTTATCTTTATTTTTTTTAGAAATTTCTCGTCTTTCTGAAAACTGAATAAACTTGAGCTTTTTTGCTTTTCCAGTTGGTAATGAGCAAACGGCTCGAGGAAGGTGACTCCAAACTGTGTGAATTGGATGGTGATGAATCTTTAGGTTCCTATTTGCGGATAGTTCCTAATGTGAATACTACTCTAGACATCTCTAGATGTACCATTCAGTGGTTCCGTATATCAGCTGAAAGAAGTAAAAGGGAAAGGATATCAGGTAATTGATTTTGATTTCCAATCAACAATTATCTTCTGTATTTTGGTTTCTACATTAATGGGGTTTATGCATCTAACTAGTGGAATATTTGGGGGGTTCTTCTAGGAGTGGGTTTGATCTGATATGCGTTTCTATTCTTTGACTATAAACATGCTTACTTACAAGTTGAGTTTTTGAGCATTTCTCTTGTGCGCACGCATGAGCAGTTTAATAACAAAGCTTTTCGCCCCTCCTCTACTTCGCCTGTCGACTCCTGAAAGCTTTGTTCTTATGCAGTGCGGCTAGAACCCCTCCCTCTGTTTCTCCTTTTTTTTCTGAGCGATATAACACATCCCTCCCTCTGTTTCTTCTTTCTTGTGCTTCTGGTTCTTATGCTCCTTCGACCTTCATATATCTTCTTTTGTTTCCTCGTATGTCTCTCTGGAGTACCATTTGTGCCTCCTCAAAGTATCTATCCTTGCCTGTCTCTACCATAAAGTTGTCCTGCTCTGAAGCAATTATCATCTCCACTCTGTAAAGAGAGATGTAGGTCCAAAATGACATGGTTGGAAGTTGTGAGAAAAGATGTGGGGACTTATGGCCTCACTGAGGTTATGATCCTTGATAGAGCAGAATGGCAGACCAAGATTCGTATAGCCGACCTCAAATAGTTGGGAAAAGACTCTGATGATGATGACTCTATAAATAGAGAGTGATATTCATATTCTTCAACACAATTTGGTGTTGTCCTCTTGTTCTCTCTTCTCACCTTCTCCTCTAGAGCAACATTGACCCTGATAGAACACCTTTTCAAGGCTAACAAGTTGAATCTGGGATAGATTCATGAGAGTACAACCAGCTATAAATTTCTACTATTTACTGAGCTCTAGGGAGAGTACCAGGACGTTGATGCTGTCAGGAACTGACCAATGCTGGGTTCCTTTTGTTTGGCTGTAATGTGGACAGGACATGGACAAATGGTTCCAAATCCTAAAGCCATTAAGAAGGGATCTTCTGCTGATGTTGAATGTGTCCAAGTAAAAGAACTTGCACATAAGAAAGTCACCTGATGCCAACCTCAATACGCACCAAGTTTATTCATGAATTTAATATGTGGTAGTTAAATTGAAAATTCAAAGTCTGGTTATAGAAACAAAATTCTAAACTGGTGTTAAACTTTTGCAATATTCTAAAGTCGATATGTTTTTTTGTAATTTATTTTCCTTTTTTGCTGGACTATTATGACTTTCTTTTTCATGAATAGACCATTCTATAGCTACATTGGCTATGTTGCCTACACATTTGACATGGACTATTGTGTCTGGTACTTGTTGAAAGCAGCATTTTAAAAATCTAGGCTCGGGTTCTGATTCACAAGGGTCTCAAGCCCGAGTCAGACTCTATCGAGTTGGACTGGCTGACTCGTCTGGGTTTCTATAAAAATGATTATAAGACCCAGGTAAAACTTGCCTTTCTTTTTTGCAATAGTCATTTGGACCTAGCACTTGGCATCCTGCCAGGTCCAAATGACTTGTGCTGAGTGCAAGCCCGAGTTGGCGAACTTTTATGTCTGGTTGAAAGTGTCTAGTACTTCAGCAGACATGTGCATGTGAGTTTTATTTTTAATTTATTAAAAATAAGGGAAATTTATCAAATTAATGATAAAGGATTAGCAATTTAATACCTTGCCTATGTCCTTTGATTTAATTTCAAAATTCCATAAAAACACGCATGGTTTGGAGTTGGAATTGTTGCAAATTGGTAAAATGTCGCATACTTTTTATCTCTTATGGGTATTTTCAAAAATTTCCCAGAAAATAAAAATGGGTTCAAACCCCATCCTTGTGCTCTATATAATTGTTTTATGTCCCCATGTCGTGAAGTGTCGATATGTGTCGACACGTGATGTGGCTTTAAAAATGAGGTGTCTAGGTAGTATGGTATGATGGTACTTGGGAAGTTATAAAGTGATATATTTAGGGTTTAAACTTGGGTGAAAATATTTAGGAGACCTGTGAAGATGGGTGAGTTCTTCAATGGTGGGGCCCATATATCTTGTGTTGATGTTTTTGATTTGCATGGTGCCAAGTTATTACATTGAACTTTGGGAGTAGATGTTTCAAAGATTGTTTTATTTCTGACCTTATGCTTTTTGAATATAGGGTGATTATGCCTACCTTGTCTTGTCTCAATCTTTTTGCTAATTTATATCCTTACATTTGATTCCCAGGTGCCACAAAATCAGTGTACGCTCCAGAACCTTTTGATGTTGGTCGATATTTACAAGCCGAAATCGTTGCAGATGGTGAAAAGTTATTAGTGACAACTACTGGTCCTATAGAACCTGGTTTCCTTCTAACCTATTTTTCTTATTTTTCTTTCTTTTTTTTTTCCTTGTGGATCAATCCATATTTCAAGTGGGAAGATGTGATTATTTTTTAATTTATGGTTTTAGAATGTGCTGTAATTTATTATCAAATGCCGATTTTAACCACAATTACCATGTGGTATTTTGTTTTCTGGACTTCGATTGTTTTAAACCTTGCTGCTAGTGTGACATTCCTGCTCTACAAATATGACTCTGTGACTCTTTTATCTTCCCATTTAAAATCACATGATGCAGTTCTGAGCATTTGAGCTTTGGGGAAGGTAATTCCTAATTACATTTGCATTCTTAGCTCCTAAACTATCCAACATAACTTAAAGGCATTCTTTTTATGTTTTATTTGGATTAACTAAACTTTATTATATTGTTTTCCTGCTCTACAAATATGTTTATGTGACTCTTTTGTCTTTCTAGTTTAATATCACATGATGTAGTTCGGAGTATTCAAGTTTTGGGCGAGGTAATTCCTAATTAAATTTAATAAGATGAGGAAAAGTAGAATTAGGTGGGCCGGCCATGTACAATGTAGGCCTAATACAGCGTCGGTTAGGAGGTTCGATTTGGTTCAAGTAGGAGGCTCTAAAAGGGCAAGGGGAAGGCCCAATGGGACATGGATAGAAGTAGTGCGAAAAAATATAATGACTTGTGGTCTTACTGAGGGTATATCCCTTGATAGAAAAGAATGGAGGAACATGATTCGTGTAGCTGACCCCAATTCATTGGGATAAGACTTGGATGATGATGATGCTGATGATGATGTTATTCCTAATTAAATTTACATTTTTAACTCCTAAACTATCCAACATAACAAGTGTAATTTTTATATATTTTTTGGATTGGACTAAATTGTATTCCATTGGTAAGTATGAAGTAAATGTAAAGCTTTAAAGTATTTCCTATTAAAATGTATCATATTTGTGGGGTTCAGGCTCTTGGCTTGATGGTCAGGGCCTCTGAGCACTGCAGCAAAATGCCCTTGGTCTGACAATTACCTAACCTAGCCCCCACAAGGGAGGGAGGGAGGTATAGAATTCTCAAGAACCAGGATCTTTAAGTTAAATTACAATTGCAAAATGATGTAGCTTAGTAAACTGTATAATAGAGCCTAGTTTGTAAAACCAGCAGGATCTTAAAAATTAAATGACAATTGCAAAATGATCTAAGACACCTTAAACTTTATGATAGAGCCTAGTTTACAAACCCAATATGGTCTTGAAAGTCAAATGAGGCCTAGAAGTCGTTGTTTCTGATTCAGTTGGTTCAGCTGGTTCAGGTCATGGAACGACATTACCCGAGGGGCTCATTTATTTGGGTTTAAGTTTTTGGGTACGCAAACAATGTGATATATCGTGCATAACTGTCTGTACTTGATATGATTATGCTTTTTATTTGTTTTCTTCCTGTTAAATTTCTCCATGCTATATCTTCACGTAAACTTGTTACTAGTATGTGTCAGTGGCCTTTGCTGCATGGTAGAGTACCAAATGTCTTTTTTCTCTAAAGTGACAAACTGTGTCCATGTCAGTTAAGTCATCATTTCTTATTGACTTTTATTGGATTACCTTTTTATTAAGTAAAGAATATATGAAAATAAAATATGCACGTACTGATTTTTACACAATTTCTTTACAGCCCCAGGCTTGGGAAACTATGTGGAGGCACTTGTTAGAAAACCCGACACTGAATTCAATGTACGATCAGTTTCATTGGGCTTCTTTACTGCAAAAAGCTGATATTCATTGAGCGTTGTTAATGCCTTCAAATATTCTATTATTGTTTTGGCAAATTATTTGGAGCACCATGAAAATCACAATTGTAAATAATTTAAGGGAAACTTATCAAAATACCCATGAGAGATAAGGTATTTAACATACTGCCTATTTGTAACCATTCCAAGCTAAGACTCTGTACTTTTGTGGGTATTTTGAAATTAAATCAAAAGATATGGGTAAGGAGTTAAATTACTCATCTCTTATTGACAAATTGCCCTAATTTTAATCATCCTATGGTTTTGATATGGCAGTCTACAGGCAGAATTGGAACAACAAAATTATTAACTTGTATTGGTTGGTTAATATTATTCACCTTTCTTTTAATTGGATAATGTTTTTTTCATTGCCTAGGTCAACATGAGTTTTTTTTTTTTTTTTTTCAGGACGTGATACTCGTATAAAATTTCTCTTAAATCCAAGCACATGTTTTCACTTAATTTTCCTATGTGGTTCTATGTACTTTTTGCTTTGGTTTGCAGGTCGTTCTTCAGATGAATGGAGTGGATCATCCATCTCACTCTCTTCATGTGTTTCATGTGGGAAAGATGAGGATCAAACTTCGCAAGGGAAGGATAACAAAGGCAAAAGAGCCTTACTCCTCGTCAATGCAGGTTGCTTTCTTTCTTTCTTTTAAATCTTGTATGGGAATCAGATATTGAACTCTGATAATTGCAAAATTTTGTAATTGGGCAAACGGAAATCATACCAGCTGCAATTGCAACACTCAATCACTTGGATTATGTTAGGATTTCTATGTGTTGGAACCCACAACGGCAAAGAGATCTTTGATCTCAATGAATATTTGTGACCAATTTATTTTCATAGATTTATGTGATGTGCGTGTATTGTTGAACTACACAGATTGGTGCTTATGCTCAAAATATATAAGATAGGGTCATAAGGGTAACATTATGTGTATGTAATGAGGGCGGTATCTAAAAGATATACTAGGTCCAATACAGTACAGGAAAACTAGTGAGATCCACAAGGACAGGAGATAACCTGTTGGTATTTTCAACTGTCCATTCTTCCTTTCTGCTCTCCATCACTGTCCATAATTTCCAATGGCCATTTCCCTCTCTGTTCACGCGCCACCCTGCCAGATGTTTGGAGATTAACATGTGAGGTAAATCTCCCTCTGGGCCCTACCCAGTTAATCTGCAACCATCCAACAGAGGGAACTGATCGTGGATTTAGACTAAGATTGCTTTGTACCTTAGTCTAATACAATTTACTTTTAATCTCTTGTATGGAGTTTTTTTTATCACCAAGTATTGCTTTGAGTCATTGAAATTGAATGGCTTTCTTTTTATGGAGTTCTTTTGAATTGGGAGATACGTACATGTATTATCATGTCATATGATGGCTGCAAATGTCTAATAAGTTGTGCTGTGGTTTGTGAAATTGTCTTTTAGTTATGTCTTTTATCTAATGCCACAAATGCATGTAAAATTCACCGAGTTCTGTTATATATTCCTGTTTCTGTTATTATTTGTGAAATTTACGCATGTTGTGCACCAGTATGGATATGCAGCTCATAAATGCCTGTTCTGTGCTCAGTAGCTTAAATATTTGTATACGATCTATTCTCTCTTTCTCTCTCTCTCTCTCTCTCTCGCTCTCTCTCTCTCTATCTATTTTATAATGGCTCCATTGATTACATCTCCCTCTATCGCTGGTTTTGATATGCTTGCTGTTGTATTTGTTAGTATTGATTAGGAGTTTAGGACAAGGAAAACACATTCATTTAACCCACCCTTCATTTGGCTTGTGAAAAATTGCAGTTGTGTGGGTTGAGAGGTGGTGGAAATGCTGCTGCTCAAGCGTTGTTTTGGCAACCAAAGAAAGGAGTATCTTTTACATTGGCATTCGAATCAGAGAGAGAACGAAATGCAGCCATCATGCTTGCCAGGAGATTTGCCTTTGATTGTAATGTAATACCTTCATGTCTTTTCAGAAATTCTCTCAAGAAAGTATTCCATGGTCCAATGGACTATGGTCTATGTATATACTTAAGCTACATGAACCATTTCTTTGTGCTGACCGATGGCTAGAGATTAACAGGATCCAAGTGAATCCCTCTTGGTAACCCATCTAGTTAATCCACAACCATTGGTCAGTGGGAGTGGTGGGTGGTTACAGCCTCAGAGGACATGTGCCATAGTCCGTTTGACTATGGCATACTTTCCCTTTTCTCTTTGATTTTTTTATTTTTATTTTATTTTATTTTTCTAATCTTTTTCCTTTTCAAAGTATATGACAGTATATTTTCTCCAATGTTTTAAAACTTGGCTTGGGCCCCGGATTGGTTCCTAGCCCTAGCCGAGTTACTCATGCGAGTATGAATAGACTTGCCCGAGTAGGGCGCATTCCTAAAAAGGCTATAAATTTGAAAACAAATTTTTAGAAATAAAAAATAGTAAAAACCAAAGTAAACCATAAAGAGCACCAGAAGTCTAAAAATAATGAAAAATTATAAAAGATGGAATTTGGAAAGAAAAAAAAAATTGTAGCTGGAAATAATTCAGGAAAATTCAAGAAAAGGGGAAAAATACCAAATAAAGCAAATGGTAAATAAAAGTTTGTAAATCATCGTTAAAATCATTAAAATTATGCAGTAACATGTCCACACATTGGTTTATTGAGTCGAGTCGGAGTCCAAGTTACTCGGTTGAGTTCTTGAACAGCGATTTTTTCTTTGTAGTCATAATGGATATGGATAAGTTCACATATACCACAACAAAATTGTCATATCCTGAAAAATGACCATCCATTTTGGTTTGGCCAGTAGGCATAATTATAAATCATTGTTTTAAAATTTAGAGGGGAAAAAAAATGTAGAACGTAGCAGACCTGTCAAATACAAATTTTACTCATCTTCTTATATATAAAAACAAGTTTTCTTCAAAATAATCAATGAAACAAAGAAAGAAAGAAATAAATAAATAAATAAAATTGTATTTACATTTTAAGGAAAGACTGCAAACTAAGAAATGGTAGAGATTTTCATTATTAGCCTTCTGTAATCTTCCCTTCCCTCTTTGATGAAAAAACAAAATCAAATTGGGCAATTGAGGAACTGGTAAATTTGACTGATTTAGAGATTAAATACTCTTTTTTTATTTTCTGTTTTGTTTGCAGATCATGCTTGCCGGACCAGATGACCGAGCTCCCCTCGGAACATAACTAACATGCATAATTACCATGTCTTATTGTAATGTTGTAAGTAATATTAATGTCATATTTGTTTCTCTTCTTTTTGCTTGTAGCTTGGTGTTTAACTGTAAGAAAGAGAATGGGAGTTTGTTGTGTAATTAGAGGGCTTGCCTCTTGAAATCAAGGCATCCTTTTTATTTGCCTTTGTATGTGGTATTAGGGGAAGTTGATTAGAGTAGGCATTGGTAAAATGGTTGATTTTTACCATGTTTCTAGTGTTTCAATTGACTGGCCTAAGGTGGCTCTTTGTATTTAAGGATATATGTAAGAAATATTAATGTTATGGTGTTATTGTCTTCTTGTTTGCAGTAGTAATAATGCATTGCATTGTGGAAGAATACGCTCACAATTGTTGGTTTGTCATTGTTTTTCACTCCTTGAAACAGAATTGAGGGTCACAAGTTGGGGGGAGAGAGAGAGAGACAGCACAATTGTTGGTTTGTCATTGTTTTTCACTCTTTAAAATACAGAGAGAGAGAGAGAGAGAGAGCGGTTGTTGGTATGTCATTGCTTTTCACCCCTTAACAGAAATTGTCATAAGCTGATGGAAGAAAAAGAGAGAGAGAGCAAACAAATTGTTGATGTGATGAATTGTCACAGGAGAGAGAGAGAGAGAGAGAGAGAGAGAGAGAGAGAGAGAGAGAGAG